CACACAACCCTGCCAAGCTCCCTGGTTGTGCAGAACTTACTGATGGCATTTAACTGTCAGTTACTGTACACCCATTAAGAAGGAGAGGGAAGAGAGGAGATAGAAATGGAAGGGAAAGGAACATCTGATTTCCTTCCTGCTATGTGCACATATCTGTGTTAGAAAGCAAAAGCATAAAACATAATTGCATTATCATACTGTTTTGTGATATTACCAATCAACCTCAGCGACACAGGAGCAAATAGAGCTACAAATCAATCCACTATTCAACACCCAAGTGCCAATTCAACTTAATTTCCTCTTATTCACTGGCAGTGTTTCAAATGAATATGACATCCTAACAGTGTGTAACTGCCTTGTGCCTGATTTCTTTCCTGTTTGTTTATATTTATATTTTTATTTATGTATCGTGGATTTGTTTCAGTCCATTACCCTGACCTTCAGTACCTTCCCGTGATGCTTTATGGCTGGCAGATGGTGTAACAGCTCAGCTATGACAGATAAGGTCACCATTTTATATTGTTGTTTTAACATATTAAATGTGTAAAAATGACCCCTGTCAACCTGATGGAAGTTCTGCACCTGTGATGAAGATGTATATTGTTTTTGTACTCAAAATTAAAGCAGGCCACAAGAGGCAGAAATAATCTGACTTTTAGCCCCTAGTATGGATCTGCTGAATCCCCATGAAATTTCTCATAATGTTACTCAGTAGCATCTTTTATAGGCCCCAATACCAAATTACCAGACTTTCTGTTTAAGTTTAAAACTAAACTTTAATCATGCATCTCAAGCTAAAGAGATCATCAGAACTTTGGAATGTTCCCTTTATAGCCACAGAAGATATTATACAGCAGTTTTTACAGGCAAAGTAGGACTTCTCATTACTACTTCCTGTGTAAAACCGATGGTGCCACTTTAAAATATGGAAGCATTATGGTAAACGGGAAGATTTTATTTAGATACGTTTCTTACTTGCTTCTAGTTGTTATAACTTCCGGGTAAATATGACAGAGAGTGAGAGGAAGTCGGCAAACATGACTGAACATAGCATGAAATAAAAGTTTAATTTACCTCGTCTGTGGACGTGATTTCTGCACTGAGTCACGTCACATAATTTCCTTGGCAGTGGTGGTTGTTTGCTAATGAAGACCAAAACTCCCATGATCCGATACTACGCTACTTCAAACCATCATCAAACTGTCTTTTTTTGTGTGTTTTGATGTGAGAGAGACCCCTTGCAGTAGAAAATTGTGACGTCACCCTCTGCACAACACGATGACATTAAAAATGTAAGCCTTAGCCTTCCGCTACATTAGCTATTGTAGTTTTTATTTTAGATTTAAACAGGATCGTGCAAGGAATGGCCAGGGTTAAATCGAATAACCAACATGACCATCCACCAGCAACTTTTGATACCTGATATCCAAAGGGTATGCCCTAACCATAAAAACTGCCATCATGTAGCTCACTGACCGTCACTGTCAGCCCGCAATTTTGTTTCTTTAATTTGGGTTAGAGTTATTGGTCTGCGCTTTAAAAAAAAGACCCTGTTTAGGAAATGTTGAGTATTTCCTGAATGAACTACAGGCAAGAATAGAATGTGGAAAAGCTAATCTATGAAATCGTTCCTCCTAGTGCTGTCAGTTAAACGCGTTATTAATGCCGTTAATGCAAACCCATTTTAACCGCGTCAACTTTTTTATCGTGAGACTAACGTTTGTTTAACTGTTTTTTTCACATGCTGTTGCAACAACTAGTAACGTTAGAAAAACTACAACACCACACCAGATCTAGCTAGACCGGAAACAAAACAACAGACATGCCGCACACACTTGTTTAAGAGTAGTAGACGTTACGTTTTGAGTCGATGGCGAGCGCGAGACGCCGAAATGGATTCCAATAATATTCTGAATGGAAAGTTTACTTTTAAAAAGTTGCCAAATGGGTCCATTGACAAGACCAAAGTGATCTGTGTGTTTTGTGGTTCAGAACTGAGCTATCATCGCAGCACGTCCAGTCTGAAATACCACTTGATGGCCAAGCACACAGCTGATGCGAATTTGACCCCTCGTCAAAGCCAGGCGACAATGTATGATTTTTCAATAAAAACAACATTTGCACAAAGCAAGCCGATCCACTTTTCCATGTTGATAAGAGCATTAAAATGAGAAAAAATAATGGGACAAAAAGAAATCAAGGGACATTTAGAATAGATACAAATGTGCAATTAATTGCGATTAATTGCGAGTTAACTATGACATTAATGCGATTAATCGCGATTAAATATTTTAATCGTTTGACAGCACTAATTCCTCCACATCCATACTTGCAGAAGAGATCAATTCATAATGCCGCGAAAGCTAACCTGCACCATGTAAATAGTTGGTTTTACAAGGTGCTTCTAACGTATCCACATAAATGTGGGCATAGTGTGACTCAGCTATCAATTGTTTTAAGTAAGGCAGCCAGTTTGGAAAATCCTCTGAGACAACGCCTAAAAAACAAGTACAAGTTGCAAGTGTGATGTGTGTGCAGGTAGCAACAGTTGAAACCATTATGAAACAATCATCTGCGGGCAGTGTAGGGGTTGGGACTCTGACCATGGACTGCAGGATCCCCACTTCGGGTCCTGCTGGGGACCTTTGTTGCATCTTGCATCTCATTTCATCTCTGTACTGTTTAAAAATGCCCAAATAATACTTAGAAATGTCCCTATAGGATCATGTTTGCTGGAGGCCTCTGACTGTAAAAGAACACCGGTGTGATAGTTTGCACGACTCATTTAATATGTATAGTACAGTATTGTTTTGTTGTATTTCGGTAACTTGTATTTGTCCTTCCTTGTTAGCAGCCCTGACTGGCTTGGCTGGTATTGTTTTCACATTGTGGGTGTGTGTGTGTGTGTGTGTGTGCATGATTGTGATTGTGCTACTGTTGCGGGAACTACCGTAGAAGCAGTATTAGGTATGTTTGCCAGGTGTCTGTCTGAGGTCAGATTTGAGATGCAGTCATCAAACTTCACAGGTGTGTAAATAGAGGCCGTGTTTGAAGATGGCTGTGGTCCGACCCATGAGTACTTAGTACTCATGTAATAGTACACCATTAGTAATGGCTATACTCAACATGTTGATGGGAATCGCAGCTGGTGTGATCCCATAGCAAGATGTTCTTGGTGGTTTTCATTTCTGTTGTGTCACGTTTTAAGTATGTTCTCTTCTTACCATTCAGATTGAAATACAATACATTAAACTGTTCTGTAAATGCCAGTTTGACACTTCCTCTTGGCTATAAGCCACCATTTTTCAGACATGTATGAACTGTGAGTTTCAACACATCAACAGTGAGATAAGGATCAGGTGGTTTATGGAAACCAATTGCCATACTTTCATATGAGTAAAGGCCATTAAAGGAATATAATATTCATAGGTATGTTTTCATTAGTGTATATTTTTTAGTTATCTTTTTAAATATATGTCAAAGCTGCATTTAATTTGTTTATTTTCTAAAGGTTGTGAAGGGGGTACAACTTACATTTAATTGTGCAACCTATTGTGACGTCATCCATTGGTTTGTGGAGTACCGTTTTGAAGCCTTGAGTTTGGCCAAAAATATGTTTCTGAAAAGACTGTGAGAAATAGGCACGGCAGTAACAGAATCTTGATTCATATTTGGTCAAATTACATTACTATATATATTACTCATATGTTTTTATATTTTGTAAGGCAAAAAACCTCCCTCCAAACTCTTTATACTGTATACCGAGTATCTATCTACTATCTGCTACAGCCAGTGCACACCCCTTTGACATGTGGAGAAGTCCAAATGATATCTTGATCTTATCTAGAGCAGTTTACAGTCAGTACAACGAGACAGCTGGGTTAATATCTCTCAATATTCTAATATCTTTTAATATAAATCATAAAGGATTTCAGATTTAAAATCAACATTGTCTGCTGTTGAACATTTTATGAAGATAATCCTTTCTGACATGTGATGGTTCACCAGATATGAACTGCTTTTATGTTTTGTCATAATCTTTTGGGAATAATATAATCACATCTCTTACTTTTAATAACTCTCTTCTGTCTCCCTGCTATGAGTAAGTTGTTTACACATGGATAAAAATAAACATTCTGTTATAAATGCCATGCAATGTTCATGAGTGATTCGTCCATTCAGTACACACCTTTTACTTAAACAAACACACAGGCACACACACAAACAATCCCAACATGCAGGCTTGATTTTGTGAGCACAGACAGCACTAGAACGAGCTATAGGAACCTGATTTTTTTCACAGATTAGCGTTCTCATGTACGAATTTCAACAAATATGACAGAATATTATTTTTATAAAAGTTACCTACTGCAGCTTTAAACAAACCAGAAATAATATAATTAGTGAGGCTTAAAGGTGCTGGTAGGTGGATTTGGTTTGGATATAGACGTGTTGTTTCCAGTCCTTAATATACTAAAATAAAAAATACAAAATATATAAATAATATATATTTACATGCACATTGGTGGGCAACGTCAGGTCAATGTAAAAGGGAACACTGACTGGTTTTGTTAAAACAAAATCCTGACACTGTGCTAAAAATGCCCATTTTCATTTACCAATCTACTGTAACATCAAACAACAAGAATGATTATGTTGTATTTGAAATACTTATTCACAACTGCCACCGAATTTTGGGAAAGTCCTGTAATTCATGACAGTGATGCAAAGTAACTAAATACAATCTGACTGCCCTGACAAGTTTTAATGTGTGATAGCGTCACATGTTCAAACCAACACAAATAACATCCCTTCCATCTCATCTGTGCTTTCAATCTCAGACGCACCTCCCTTCATTATTTTTTCTTGGCTAGTGCAGGCTCTACCTGACAGAAGCCGTCAAACTGGGCACATAACAGATTACAGTAAATAATTGAAAAAAATATTTCCTCCTTCCCCGAACAGCCTGCAGAACCAGCTTTGGTTCAGACCCGTATAGGTCCATGTGAGTATAAAAGCAAGACAGACCAGGCATGTTACAGGGCAGCAGCTCCACACAGATACAGAGGTACATCCAGAGCATCCTGAACTGCTGACTACAGACCCACAAACACAGAGACAACATGAAAGCTGTTGCAGCCTTCCTGCTGGTGCTGTGTTACCTGGCCGCCAGTCACGGTAGGTCACTCTCTGATTTATTTTTTTTATGACAAAATTCATTGTTGAAGCAATTTAATAATGAAATTAGATTTGATTTGTTTTTTCAAAAAAAATGGATATACATTTAACACTCACATTAATAATGATTTTGTCTTCACATCAGCCTGGTCTTGCAAGGAAGCTCCACGGCTGTATAACGCTGCACAGGTTGATGCTGGGCTTGGAAAAGTGATTGCAAGGGACACATCGGGCTATGCGTACCTCCTGATTAGAACATCTTGGTACAGACTGACCACGTCAGTTCGATTCAAGCATGTCTCTGTCGGATCTGCAGGAATCTGGGGAGCTGACACTTCAAACAGGGCCCAGAAATTCATAGCTGGAGTGTTTCGACAATCCAGTGGTAACTTTTATTATTATTATTATCACTGCTACTATGTAGAAAGATCCGACGATAAACTGTTACTGCTTGCTGACTTAATGACCTGTACCTCTGTGTTGGACTTCAGGTACGAACGTGCAGCAGGTGGATGCTGGAGGTGCTGGTCAGGTTGTGGGAGTCGGTACCTCCAACCACGCCTACTGTCTGAGAAGTACCTACGCCTTAGCCTTTGCTGGAACAGGCTCCCTTAGCTGGAGTTACCTGGGTAGGACTCTGAGGTACTACAGTTGCAGTCCACTAAAAGGATGCTGGGGAGTCGACACTAGTTACCGGGTCTACTACACACAGGTTGGACACTGCAGTGCTTATAAAATCTCATGCCTTTTAACTCTTGACACATGAGTAACACTAACTCTTGATCATGACAATGTCTCCATTTATGCTTCTTATGACAGACAATAGTCCCAACCAGCTGTGGCACCAGTGGCTGGTATCAAATATCCGGGCTAAGCCTCAAAATGATTGAAGTGGGGTCTGATGGATCTGTTTTTGGATTGACCACAGGTGGCAAGGTCTACCAAAGGTAAGACAATAATTTTGTGAGGATTAGCTTTATTTACTGTGTTTAAAGATACAACAGGGTTTATTTTGGTTTAAATTTGATTTAGTTTAGTTTCCAGAGTGTGTTGTTGTTTCAGTTCAGTTTTTTCTGTTTCAATATTAGTTATAATAAAAAAATAATTACAGTACTCCTAATAAAAATATATGAATAATCAGGATAATGTCAGTTTTATACTTACTAAACTAAATTATGTCTTGCATGCATGTGTGTTAAATGAAAAGTCAATATCATATAACAGTTGTTTTGAATTGGTGTTTTAACATTACCACTTCCACCTCTGATATAATGTGTGAGTTTAAAAGTGTGACATCTAATTACAGCACTTAGTTATGACATATATTCACAAATATATGCGCTGTACCAGAACTGTTTTTTTTTTTTTGTAAAAGAAAGGCAAGCCTTTATAAACGTTATGCAAAGTGCCTGCTGATGGAAACAGAGTTGTTAACCCATTAATGTCCACCAAGAAATTTTACAATTTCTATTACAGCAATTAAAGCACCAGCTGAGCTCAGCATAATAATAATTGATAGTTTTCAAACTGGTCAAAGTATGAGGTTATAGTGCAAGTTTTTCTTAACATGCTTCTTTTAGTTGTTCCTCCCGGGGTAGCTTTTTTAACAAAATTTCCAGGAAAACACAGTAAGTTAATATGATTTTAGATCTTAATCATTTTTGATACACACATATTCTGGATTCCACAGCAGATTTTGTGTTTCCACCTTGAACAGAAAAAAAAGCTTTTCTTTAACATAGTCATTAGTCAGTAATGGGATGATGGTTTTATACACAGTATTTCTCTGGCTTCTTTCTCAACAGAGCGGGCATCACCAGTTCTAACCCCAGAGGCACAGGTTGGTCCCTGGTCTCAATGTGCATGTCAGTCCGCCACGTGTCCTATGACCTGGGCAACCTCTGGGTCGTGACCACTTCTGGCTTGCTCATGAAGTGCACACACTAATGCTCCCTGTAAAGCAGGTGCTCAGTGTCCACCAGTCTCTGTTTCTCATGGAAGATCTCTTTAAGTGGTGTGTAGGCTGTCTACAATGACTAACTGACTGGCTTTTGATTTTTTCTTCTCAGTGTAAAAGCTAGTAGATACAATGGTAAATATTAAGAAAATACTGCTATTCAAATATATTGGACTGTGTAATATTAGTTATAAATGACGATAACAAATGAGCGGTGTAAGAGTAGCCTAATGCAGTAAATATACTTATGTATATTTACATTCATGTTTAACAATGTATAACAACAATCAAGCCTGTATAACCTCCAGCTGCCAGTTGGCATACTTTCTACTGTGCTAATAAATCATAATGCAAGCAACTTCATCTGACTTTTGTCGTGCAAAATGTTAATGCTGTTGTGAATGTTATTAAACTAAAATGAAAAGCCTTGCAGGTCATTGAAAACATGGTACAATCTTATAGAAGAATTGTCAGACTGCTGAAAACATTTGTAGAACCATTTTCACTGAATGGGATAATAGTATTTTGGGGTCCAATGGAGGCCATCTTTCTATACTCGCAATTCTAGCTTCATGTCCATAATGATACAAGGTTAGGTCTGGGCTTTTCACCAACAGTGCACTCATTTTTAAAGCCTATCTGTGCTTTTGAACACAAGTAACTAGACATTTTCAAACAAATGCAAAATATAATGACACAAGGCACTATGCAGAGACATAATCTTGCTGTAGGTTAAACATTAAGAGTTATCAAGAAAAGCTATTGCAGCTCAGTGAGACCCACAGGTTTGTGTTACTTTTGACACTTTTTAATGTCTGAATCCTCAGAAATACACAGAGGCATAAAAAGGCCAGTTGCACATGAGGTTAGCAGCTCTGTCCTGCTCTTTATTGGATTTGTGGAAGTTTACACCCCAGCAACCCCAGCCGATGTTGTCTGAAATGTTCACTGGTCACCAAATAGATGGTCCTCATCTGAAAAGTCTTTTCTCTACACAGTCTGATCTCACATCTTTCTTTACAATACTAGTACTTTTACTAACAGCAGTGCTGTTTTTGTAGCATTGAATCTTCAATCATAAACTGGTGATAATGTATATATGTATGTTGCAAAAGAGGGCATATTCAAGACCCCTTTTTGCTGGAAACAGTAAAAGGTCAGCCAGGAGACAGCGCTGTCTCTTGACACATACACATGACTCCAGTTTCATCATCATCTAGGTTAATTGCTTTAATACTGTAGCAAGACATGTTCTTTCATTCATTATTAATTACCCTGAACCAGCTAACATAACTAACTAATGACAAACATTTGTTCTGTGTACCTCTTGTCTGGCTCAGGTTGTGCGTCCACACACACCCAGTTTAAACAAAGCATTGCACTGCGGCTGCACTCATCGTTCACATGTCACGATCATCACATGTGAACTTTTAATGAGATCCCTTGTTTTGAAGTCATCAGAGCATTTTTATTGCACAAAATGAAGAGAAAGAGCAACTTTTTTTTTTTAAAAGCACCTACTGAGGGATTAAATCCATATTGGTGAATTCTAAAACACTGATACTGGAGCTGTAGTTCCCTCTGAAAATGTTTCTTTTTGCATACACTGAAGCAACAGGTTAACACAGGTAATTACCAACTTATCATGAAGAATGAACTAATATCACAGGTGTCAGAGTGAAGCAGCTGCCAACTTCATCTATGTCACTTTTAACACCGGCCTTTAATAAACTTCCTCCAGTGGAAAATCTCCCATACTGTTGTATTTTGCCTTTTATTCTCTATTTTGTGATTTGGCTCAAATAACCTGTTAAGCAACTCAATGACAATGAAGTGCATACTCTGACGGGTTTAAACTATTTAAACTATCTCAACAATCTCGTTGATCTTTGTCAGGAACAGCTTCTCTTTTCGGTTCACTGCATCTTGTCTACAGACTGAAGTGATTGCCAATCCCTGCAGGTCATATTTGACATAGGTGATCAAAGGAAAGCAAACAAAAGAGAACATGGAAAATAAATAAGTTTCACGCTTCACAAACTAAAGGCCATTTAAGTCCTGCCTTACCAGTCGCACGAGCTGTCTCTGCCAGCTCGCTTTGCATGACCTCACTCTTACCCAGTACTGTGCTAAATCTAGTACTACTATGATGACTGCAGCCTGAATAAACAGATAATAGACTTGAATAATATAATGATATAATATTCATGGGTATATTTTTATTAGTGTATAATTACCTGAAATTAAGAATTGCGTTTACCTTAGAATGAGCCGTTTATATCTTCTACAAAGTCCACCATGTTGAACCGCCATGTTTCTACAGTAGCTCAGAATGGACAAACCAAACACTGGCTCTAGATAGGACCCTTTTATCGTGCCATAGAATAGAAGACAAGGTGAAGATCAGACTTAATGAGCTTAACGATTAGCACCATGTGGTCAGTGGAATAACTCACTGTAGAAAGTGGTCAGTAAGCCTCCCTACCTGCTCAGTGCATTCATTGCGATTAGTGAGTGGGTTAGCTGAGTACTATGGAGCAGTTTCTTGTCGTCAGTTTTTTGGGCATTTGTCTAGGATTTATAGGAGTAATTTCACACTATAATATCACAGTGGTTTCTTGCACTAGGGAATATTTGTGTTAAAAAAACGCACTTGTCTTATCAGCTGAAGTCACACGGTTGGTTGGTTGCATCTGTGCAAGTTCATTAACAACTAGACAACAAAGGACAAGACACATTCAAGTACTAATGAGTCTGATGTGATAGTGTGTGGGGGACACGTTTATAAGAGCAGAACAAGTTATGAGACTAATGAGGACAGATTCACTGAGCTATGTTCCTAAAGTTATGTGTAGTTGGTCTTGTTTAGATCTTTGGTGTGACTGAGGCTATGGCCCTGATTGGTTGTTTTCATCCAGTTCCGGTGGATTCTTGCAAATGCCATCCATTATCCAAAAATATGCAACTTTGAAGATGCGCTGTGTAAAAAGTCATGTCACATATAGGCCAGTACTAGGAGTAATGAAGGGAGTATGTTTAAATAAACTCATTCCGCTTTTATATTGTTAACATATTCATAAAATTTAACTTGATAGAAGCTATTGTTTTTATATCTTTAAGTGCACAAGCACTTGTGTCAGTGTTTGCGTACGTGTGTCTATATCATCTTGGTGTATACATGGATGTGAATATGAATGTGTTTGGTGTGTAAAAGACATTTTCTTGGAATTAGACAGATTTTGTCTCACAGTAAAGTCATAATCCAATCCAAACACCCGTTCAAAACTGTGGTGAGATGCAATATATAGAAATATGCAATCATTTGGCATATCTGAATTGATTGGCTGACAGAGAGACAAAGTCAGTGGTGATTGGTTTCTTCATGGGTCGACATGAGGAGATGATATGGACGGTTGCCAGGCAATCAGTAAAGTTTCCAATTACAAGATCTACTGAAATCACACAAACGCTTGATGACGGGAAGATGCTAATTACCTCCACCACACCACACCACACACACACACACACACACACACACACACACACACACACACACACACACACACTTCCAGAACCTATTATCACCCATGAATTAGACCCATCAGCTGTGTCTAGAGAGGCAGAAATGATTACTCACCACTTTTTTCCCTTTTTGTTCCCTCTAGTGGTGTGATTTAGTCAGGACAACAGAGACTGGAAGGCTGGAGCCGGTCAGGCAGGTGTGTGTGGAGGAGAGACCCATGTGTAAGTGTTCGCGTAAGTCTGTGTGTGTGACCTCTGTGTTCAGGTGTAGATCTGGGAAAATCCAATCTGGTTGAAAACCGCAATTCCACGTCTTTGAATCTGTCAAGGTGGGTGGTTTCTATGGCAACCACATGCACTCAAAAAAGACTAGTGAATGCTTTTTCAGCTATTTTGAATAGTAAACAGAAGTTTCTCTTTGGGTCTCTTAGGACATTTTTTTTCTTTCTTATTTTCATTAAATGAAAATGGACTCTTTTATCAACATGTTAGTTTACACTAATGCACCCCTAACGGCATGCAGCTCATTGCCTTTTCATCAACTCCTGCAATTTAAATTACTACTGCCTCAGTCCAATGGCTGTTTAAACCTGGAAGCACAAGAAAAGACTTTGAACATTTTCAGCATTACTAATTTAATATGAATATGATAAAAGAGTAAAGCTTTTTACAGATCAGATTTCCATTTAATAAAATGATGATGGCATTTGGACAATATTCTGACTGTCTTTGGTGACCTGGACCCTGTTATTCAAATAAAATAATACTCTTTATTCTCATCCAACTAATTTGGTTCTTTGAATGGAGTTTGAGGACTGATTTGTTAAACCTGGATGAAGTTATCTTGAATAACACTGTGCTCTTATTTCAAAATAAAGGCAACATCGGTAGAGAGTTGAAATCGTGATCATCATTCATATGAGTGGCTGAGGGCCAATCGTGTGATTGCAGTGACTAAGTGTGTTGGAAACCCTCCCTGCAGGCCCTGGGGCAACAGATTCATGGACATAAATCTTATTGTATGGTTTGTTCCCATGTTGTTACTGGTGTTATTTAGTTCTACACTGTGCTCCACAATGTGTCAATACTTTAAATATTACCAGTGAATGTGGACGGACTACCAGTGATGTCTTTTCAGTGGTAATCAAAAATCAAAACTTTACTTAAATCTGCATTTTCTCATCTAAAATCCTAATTAAATCAACATTCTTTCATCATAGATCCAAGAAAACAAGCCATTTCTATCTGAAAATGAGTTCAGGGTTCACCCTAAAACCTGATCATGATCCTTTTATCAGTAAATATAAAACAAAGAAAAGTAAAGGATTCCCTAGTAATTTGCATATAAACTCTTTAAACGTTACAACCCCCCTTTACTTGGTCTAACCTGCGACATCACTGATGACATCAGCAAAAACACAAAAGCAGGAAGTGTTTGGTTGCCACCCCCTTTAAATCCTGGGAAAGCATGGTATCAATGGATAAACCAACAAACATCAAAAAGAAGCAAAGACAAAATGGGTAAGTGAGAACAAAGAAGGCTAATGCTTAACTGAAGAAAACAGAGACAATAAACTATAACTGAACTTAGACAATACTTCCGTGTTTTGTTTTCAGCAGGTAATATGATGGCAAAATATAATAAATCTGGGATAGCAAGTGCTTGCAGTGCTGCAGATTAAGATGGACATCTGGCAAAACAAATAAAAGCATAGTTAGATGTGTAAAGAATGGTGACAAATGGTGTTCTCAGCCACTTTGACACACAACTACTAATTTGCAACAGTAAATGTGTTTTGAAAGAAACCTAATGCTGCTTGAATTACATTTTACATTACATATTTGAGTCCATTCTCTGAACAAATGTTTCTTTGTGTAATGTTTTACATCAGAGTCAATTTTGCTTTCATACAAAACATTTTTTGTTCCAAAATTCTTTCCCTTCAGAACCAAAGACAAAAGTTTTTATGAATCATTGGTTGGTTGTATGTTGTTTATTGTTCTACCTGTGAAGGTTTGCTCATACCAAACTGAGATTGGACTGAATAAACCAGTAGGTGTGTCCAGACTTGTGTTTTGCTCGATCTGACCACTGATTGGTTGTTGGCTGTAAGCCAGATATATAAAGCCAGGTGTGATCCATTTTTATTTCAGTCAGGACCGCTTTTGACAAAAGAGAAATTTATTTCCAAATGCAGAATGTTATATTTGGCAGTATGACTCTGTTCTGGGACCTCCTTGCTCTTCAACATGCATACATGGAGAAGCTTAAGACACAGCTAGCAGCAGCAAAGACCTCCCATAAGGTACAGAACAGAGCAGGCATAAATGACAACAGAAATTACATTGATTAAGTCAGATACAGCATAAAAGAGCGGCTTGCAGAGGAAGCAGCAAGGGTAGGCAGGCTAAAGCAGCTCAAATAAGGTGCCCTGAATGACATTTGCCAATTGGATGCTTGAAGGGAATGAGCTGAGTTATCAGCGTGTGTGTGTGTGTGTGTGTGTGTGTGTGTGTGTGTGTGTGTTACAATCAGCTGCGATCCGCTGATGTAACTGGAATTGTGAGCTGAGCTTGATTTTGTGGCCTGTCTGAACTAACGCTGTGCTCAATTAGATGGTGCTTCACCTTTGGTTTCCCCTACTGTAAGACAGAGGTAACACAAAAGAGTAAAGAAATGGAGGTGCTTTCAGGTGCAGAGTGTAACATTTAGGAGGATCTATTGTCAGAAATGGAATATAATATTCATAGCTATGTTTTCATTAGTGTATAATCACCTAAAAAAAATAGTTTCATTTTTGTTACCTTAGAATGAGCTGTGTTTATTTACACATGCCACAGATTGCTTTCCGTCATGTTGAACTGCCGTGTTTCTATGGTAGCCCAGAATAGACAAAGCAAACACTGGCTCCAGATAGGGCGGTTCATGTTTTTCTAGGCCACCGAAGTTTCTCCCTCGCACTTAGAAAGGGGAGTGAAGCGAGTGGGTTGCAATCTGCAACTACACTGCTAGATGATAGAAGTCCTACACCCTGGTCCTTTAATATTTTAATGTTATATTACTTTATACTTCACCTCCACTGCATTTCAGAAGGGAAGCTACATGTGTTTGACAAATATAGTTTTGTTTCTGATTAAGATTTTACGCAAAACAAAAAGAGAGTACAGCATATATAAAGTAGTTAAAACGGGATATTTCTCAACAAGGTACTATAGTAAAATGCTATTTATGCATTCACAAGATATTAATATAACATATATGGGGCTAATCCTAATGTCAGGAGCTGTCCCAACATACCCTTCACACGTCTCAGATTTTCTTAACTGGGTTTATTCATGTTTTATTTATTCATCAATGGTTTAGTTATACTTTGTGTAAATGGCATTCCCCAATAGGAAAATCAGCATCCACCCACAAAGCTAGGAATAAAATTGTGGGGGAGAGTAGTTGAAGACTTCATTTATTATTTTGTTGGCCTAAAAATAGACAAGGCAAGTTAATTTGTATAACTCCTTTGGAACTCAGGCAAGTGCTGTACTGAAGGTGAAGAAAAGCTTTAGAACAGGGACCATAAGAACAAGAAAATGTAGTCAAATTAAAACATAGTAAATCTGGGACGCCCTGGTAGCTCACCTGATAGAGCTGGCACCCCCTGCACCAAGGCTGAGCCCTTGCTGCAGTGGTAATGGGTTTGCTTCCAACCTGAGGCCCTTTGCTGTGTGTCATACCATCGCTCTCCCCCTTTCCTGTCATCTTCAGCTGTCACTATCAATTAAAGGCAATAAAGCCCCCAAAACATAAAATACATAAAAATTAAATAATATGAATGTGAATGTGAATCAAGAAATACTGGGTCAGCTTATAAAATACCAACACTGTTGAAATGTGTAAATGTACACAAACTTTTTGTTACAAAATTTTGTTGATGAATAAATTAATTTTATTTGTAATGGAATATTTATACAACATTGTGGTACCGCTACTTTTACTTCTGTAAATGATATGAGTACTACTTTGTTGATTCTTGATCGTTAATTTACAGACAATTTAAAAAATAGGGAGAATATTAGGGAGACCATACTCCTGTATTACAGCTCAGTCAGTTTGTTACACTACACTCATTTGGCAGATTTACAATAAGCTTAAACCACATGATCAGCATAGCTTTTCTTAAAATAAAGGCAATCATGGATATTTGCTTCACCCTGGATTCATCTCACTGTGGAAGTAATGTGTTGTACAGTAGACCTATTTAAGTACAATTTTGACTTATTTACGTATTTCTATTTTAAGCAACTTTATACTTTTACCCCACTACTATTCAGAGCTTTGGCTACTTTGCAGATTCAGATTATTAATATAAAATATAATTATAAATAATTAGCATCACCTTTACCAACTGCAACAAGTGATGCTTAAACATGAATGCACCAATAACTGTAATGCAATTTAAGTAGATGTGATTCTTAAAGCGGTTATTCTACATAGGCTAATGAATACTTTTATGTTTTAGTATATTTTAATCTATTTCTAGACTACACTGTGGTTGGTTATTTCTACTTTCATGTCATTAAAAGATCTGAGTACTCCTTCCACACAGTGTAGAAGGAATGAACTTGTGGGGGGAGTGTGGTACCCTCTTGAGCCACTTTCAGGACTCTTTTCACTTTTTGCTGGCTAGGGCACCTCAAGGACCTCTGTGACCGTCTCCAGCTGGCTCCCAGACGCTACAGCACAATCAGCACCCTCCACACGGGTCTCCACCACCATGAGGGATTTGGTGTGCTACACCGCCACCTCGTGTTCGGCCGTGCAGCTGCACTCCCCCGCTGAGCGCTCAGACGGGCTTGGCGCTCCGAGGTCTGCAGGCTGCTGCCGCCTTCTCTCAGCCCGAACACAGCTTCTCCTCCCGCAGATACCCCGGGGCTGACAGCCGTCCTCCCCGCTCTACAGGGACACCCTTAAGGAGACCTAAAACTGCCTTTTCCGACGCTGTGCCTCCTCTAAAAGAGCCGCCTCGGTCTGCTTGTGTGAATAAAGAGCTGCGGTAAAGAGAGACACAGCCTCCCCTCCTCAGCCGCTACATATCAGGTAAGATAATTTCCCATCAATTTGCGAGGAGAAACGTGTGATTTTGCCACTTAGTGTTTTGTTGCTGGCTTGCGGAGCGCTCAGAGAGGCTTGTGGGATTGAACAAAAGAGAAAGCACAACATGGATTGTTCCAGATAGCCTGCACCTGCTCTTAATGAGTGTGTCTGCTTGTTGGATGGAAAAACCACTTGTGCAAGGTGCTGTCAGTGATGTTAGTGATGCACGGGAAAGTGACTATTATTCATGAAGCCACGTTTAAATGTGTCCACACAGATTGCTCTCAGTAAGTGGTGCAGTTGTGAGTAAAATACAGACTACTCATAAGGCAAGCAGAAATCATGCCTTCATACCACTTTCATAATATGATTCTGCAGAAGCATACTAGTATTGGAACTAGTTGGATCACTATAAAAAGAGCTAAAGTTGTTGTCATGCAGAGGAGTAAAGCTGGTGCAAACTGAGCCAAAGAGGATTTTTCCCTCCAGTAGTCTACATCCCTGGTATCAACCGGCTTTTTTGTGTCTGCTTCCCTTTTATAATGACAAACTTTATGTGAAGCTGCAGACCTCCAGACAGCACGGCCAGCTCTATCCATCACACTGCCCTCTGCTCCCTTTATGACATTCGAAAGATGCCTCCGGGCTGAGGACGCTCCTATAGGTTTTACCATTTATGTTACTGAAATATTACCTCGGGGAAACCGTTGTCTTGAGGTCTGTTTTTATGAGACGCAGATGTGGATTAGGGCTCATCCTAATCTATTTAGTATCACTCACAGCCTGCTCTCCTGAATGCCTGGAACATTTTTAATAATAGATGGCTGAATAGATTCACTGGCTTGCAGCATCGATTTTTGTCTGTATGAGGCTGTAAAGAGTCGTCTGATAAGAAACCAATGAAGCCAAATGTCATGAAACCAAAAAATCCATAGTAATCATACAGTAAATTCTGAAATGGATTGCATATAAACATTACAGCAAACTCAAGTCTCTCATATCACAGAAGCTTAAAAAAGCCCAAGGTAACTGTAAACTAAATGGAAACTCTTGGGAGATTATAGTGATTTTTCATCTTAGTTTTAATGGATTTGATCCAAATTTTCCTAAAGTTGCCCATGGGCGTGTTTCTCAAGCTTCATTTGATTTTACGGGTGGCAAGAAACTGTAGCTCTCGTCATGTTCTGCTCTTTGTATTTCTTCCAGAGAATAATAACGGCTTCTTTATTGCCCTAATTGAATTACACGCCCAAGTCAGGCGCACCAATTATTTCCTTGATTGTGTAACAAGTGAGATGCTGCGGCATCTGGTGTCCCATCCCACAGGACCAGTGTGAGGCCAGAGCTGGCTGTGGGCCCATTGATAGTGTTAACCCCCTCATTCATTCTACCAGAAGCTGCACAATTGAGAGGGCTCAGGATTTCACACCCAGGGAATACTAATAACCTTACCAGAGAGATTTGTCTAAGCCTTGCTCACTATCAACCCAGTAGGCAGGCGTGATGGCATGCCAGGACTGTGCAGTCATGTTGGGGGTAGATATAGCCTGGTAGGGTGAATGAAGCAGCTTAAGTAAGCACTTTGATTGGCCCAAGATAAGTCATTAACTCTGGTGAATGCTGCTTTGAAGACCAGCAGGTAGGCTGTGCGTTGCCAAGTATGATCTATTTCTTCAGTCCTTTGCAGGACTGTAATATTTGGATTCAGTGTGATTTGGTCTTTGCCCATTTCAGATGATGATTCAAGGCTTTCCTGCTTAGAAATCTTCAGAACAACCTTGTTCTACCTTTCTATGTTTTCGTTCGGCACTCGATTTAGAATGTTTTTTATCCTCTGGACCTCCTTATTTTGAAGATTATTTCATAGATTAATTAGGGATGCACGATAACTTTTTTTTAAAAACCGATACCGATAAAGATAACCGATAACTCACACACATATACATATATATATGATCATGACCTAAGATCATGACATTAATACTATGAACAAACCCAAAAATACTGTTGACTCTTTAAATGGAAATATTTATTTTTTCCAATGAAGAACTATTGGCAAGCCTATAAATAAAGGCCCCTTGAACTGATTACAAACTGAAAAAGTGCATTCCAGAAGTTCAAAAAAATAAACATATATAGAAAATTGACACAAGTTAGATTCAAATATTTCTATGTAAACACAATCTGAAAAAGTGCATTCCTCAATAACAATAAATAAAATGTGCATAATGCACTGACACAAAGTACACTTTGTGTAATCAAACTGAAAAAGTGCATTCCATAGTAACAAAAAATTAAGTTTAAATGATTTTGGCTTATGGTTTCATTCAAATGAATACCTTTTCACTAAAGTAAATGAGGTTCAGTTGTTTGAGAGAGAGAGAGAGAGAGAGAGAGAGAGAGAGAGAGAGAGAGAGAGAGAGAGACTCCGTCGAAGCGATGGCTATGTTTCAGGTGACTTATCAGGTTTGACGTATTGAAGCTTGTGCTACTTTTACCCCCTCGTGGAACTTGCTTGGAACATTTGTTACAAATAACAAGCGACCTGTCTTCTTCAGAAACTTTGTAAAAGTCCCACACAATCAACGCCATGATGTCTGTTTTCAAACGTAAGCACGCTGTGCTGCATTCACGGTGTGACAGTAATTCCCTGTTCCCACGTTTGCTAGTCGTTCTTTCAGCCTTTTTAAGTTCATGTTTCTATTGTTTATGTGTAACATGTGGAAAAATACTGTGGATATCAATTCAAGTCAGCTACTACAAAAATTATGACCGAGTTAACAAGTTATTTTCCGACATTAGGGGGTATTCTAAAATTTTCCCAGTCAGAAAGAGTTTTTCTGATTATGCCAACGTCACTTGAACGCAGCATTCACTTCAGGCCATTCAGGTCTCATAGTGAGAGCGGGGCACAGCCGTTCTGACAAAATTATATATGTTATTGGGGCTATTCGTCATGATATCGGACTTATCGGAATGATGTAATAATTTCCTGTTGTCGGCCCGATAACTTTCGGCCCGATAATTATCGTGCACCCCTAAGATTAATTGATTAATCATTTAGTCTACAAAGTTTTTAAATATTGTGAAAAAATGGCAAGAGATCTTCAGTTTGCTTGTTTTTTTCAAAAAGAAAATGAAGAAAAGCAGAAAATCATCTCCTTTGGGAAGCTGAAACCAAAGAATATTTCCCATTTTGCAGATACATCTCTGTTCATTCTGTTAAAACCCTTAAAACACTATGAACTCATTTTGCAGAGGCAGCTTAAGCCTCGTTCTAGACGAGGGCACTCACTTCACAAAAGTTCAAACAATTTACTACTAAAAAGTAATTTGTTCAACTTAATTCTAATAGAAGCTATTTATCTTACCTCTAAACAATTCTGTTTGATGTTACATTTTCAGTGCCACTTCTGTCTAGTTTGGTTGTCCATTTAGCTCAGCTTGCTAGTTTTCTGCCCTTTTAATTTAGCAAAGATAAAGCCTGTTTTACTGTTACTGGGCAACAAGGCATGCAGTGTGTTACATGTATAAGCATGCACTGCATTTCAAAGTCAGACAAGATCGAACATTTAATTTTTTCCAACATTTGAGCAGTTTGAATGTCAAATAAAAATGCTCTTTTTTTAACTAAATAGGTTTTTAATGAATTTTTGGTTGGATCTGGCTTAAACCCTGACCCATTTTTAACATTTGGAAAGACACAAGCTCTTTCTACTGGCTTTGTTGGCATTTTATATCATTTCATTTGCTCTGGTTTGTGTCTTGACTTTGTCTCAACCCTGTTTGGATGTGGTCTCGGCTTTGAACTCCAGTGGAGCTTGTTTAACTGACTTGGGGTTGATAAAGATTGTCATCTCTATTGCTCTGGCCTTGGCTTTTAATCTTCAACATTTTGTCAGTTTTCTACTTTTCGTTTGTAATGATTCAACTTTTACCAACTTACTTTAAGATATTTCTATCCAAGCACTAAGGCCAGGTGTTGAACCTCAACACTTTCTTTGGTACTGACTGAATTTTTCTGTAGGTCAGAGTAGTGAAAGTTTACTTCAAAGGTCTGGTCACGTTCGAAAGACAATTTTCTTCATGCAAAGGTCTTGTTTGTCTTTAGCTTTTAACATTATAGAACTTTGGCTTCTTCTGTGAAAAAGGATAGAAACTTGGATATCGTACTGCGTGTTGGATGGATCTCCACTATCGTCCATTAATTCCTGATAATTCCTTAATGAATTTCATATATTTCCTGGTACGAAGGAAGTAGCGCAGTTTACATTTGTGGCAGCGCTACGAGTAGCTAACTTGGTCCTCGTGTAATATTGTGTGATGTGGAGTAGGTATGTGTTGGGGTCGAACAGTTCATTGAGGTTGATTGCGAGCAGTGGGCTGTGGTGCACGAATCCAACAGGGGCGGCAGTGAACCCCTGTGGGACTCAACCCCCATCTCCTGCTTTGGTCCTTCCATTTAGCTCTCCGTGCTCACTGTCTCTCCCATCGTCTGCCCCTTCTAGTCTCCTGCACTGCTTTGATTGCACCTCCTTTCAATCTCTAGTACCGTCACTCTCCCCTTCTCTTCCTTTTTCTCATTAAATCTTCCGTATTCTTGTACCCTTCTAACTCTCCTTTTTCTCTGTACTTTCCTCGCCACATGGATATGTTAGATGTTAACAACTTTCTTTCTCCTCTCCGATCTCCTCCAATCTATCCTCATTTCCCTTCCTTCTCTTTCATGTCACAGCTTTCATTTTACAACTTCTTTTCGTGCCCTTGGGTCGTGCGTGTGTTGGATTGTGAGGGTAGCGTTTCACTGAGATCAATGACGGCTGAAGATATTTCATTTAAAGTGTCAGATGAAATTAGGACGAACCTCCGCAGACAAGGGTTTAACGGCCCTGATGGAGAGCGGCGACACGCTCTCCCATCATCATCGATTAGCTCTATTGTCATTTTAGGGGAGAGTCTCGTTTGATTAATCGGACCCTAAGTAGTACCTGGAGGGACCCCAT